TCTACTACTACGACTGCTTCAACTAATTATACTTTTACGGAACATGAAAACGGAAAGGAAGAAAAGGATAATGAAAATGAAGAATATAAGCGGGAAGAAACTGAGATGGCGGAAGCTGCTACTAAAGATAATATGACTGCTTCAACCAATATTAATCCAAAATATGAAAACGTAAAAGAAAATAAGGATGAAAATGATGAAAAAGAAATTAAACTGGAAGATAATAATAATACAGATGTCGCGATGCCGGATGCTGACCCTCAGGATGGGACTGCTTCAACTAATAATGTCACGGAACATGAAAACGAAAAAGAAAATAAGGAATTCAGGGATAGTAGAAATGAAGAATCTAAACAGGAAGAAACTACTACTAAGGATGGGACAGATGATATTATTATGGAAGATGTGTCAACTGGACAGGAAAGTGGCAAAGAGCAATCTGAACTGACAAAGCAACAAGAAAAACAAGAAATCAACTCTGAAATGACGACTGAGACACAAAAAACCGACTCTCAAGAAATACAAAAGGTCGACATTGAAATGAATACCGAGCAACAAGCATTTCACGAATCCGACTCTATAATGAAACAAGCGCAGCTAAAAGAAATGGAGACAAGTACTGCAACAACTCCTCGAGACGAAAAAGAGGTTACATTAAAAGACGAAAATATCCAAGCTCCAAAAGATGGAGATACAGTTTCGTTGTCATCATGTAGATCACCTGACAAAACAGATGAGGATAAACACACTATTAAAGAAAATCAAGATTTGGCTCATACTTCTTCATTGTAAATTGTAAGTAACAATTATTTTTATTTCCGTTATACATTTGCAAGTTTATTTACTATAGTCATTTTGATTTTTAATATATTAAATTCTTAAATTCCCGATAATTCTAAGTGTGCTTTGCATGAGATTTTTGGAGGTAATTTAAATTTAAATCAATTGATAAAGAATTAATACGAAATGCTTTTTTGGTGAAAACATTAATTATAAGTTCATTATAACCATATCAGTTTTTGAAGATGCTATTAACTTGTGATAAGTAAATTGTATTAATGTTAATAAAATTGAATCACAATAATCAGATTATCTGGAATCCATCAAGTCTTTTTTTTTATTTCCGCCAAATTTGCATTAAATGATTGTAGTTCAATGTTAACCATGAATACCATGGACACAAATAATTAGAATTGCAGCATTCATTCCAAAACTAGCGACCAAAAACTTCCAATCAGAAAAAAATCCATACTACCAATTTAATATTCTTTAAAATTGATATATATTTTCTTAAAATCATAAATATACCAATTTTATCCAAGGACACAACAAAAATTTTATTATATGTTACAAACGTAATCAAGTAAAACAAATGAAAGAATTTATATTATAGGAATTGATAATATTGCTTCTTTAGCTCTTTTCTTTAATTCTATTAGAGTTTCTATTTTTTGATTTGTTTTCTCAACCAGTCTCAAATGTTGGGTTTCCGTTAAACTTCTTAAATAATCTTCAACGGTAAATGCTGCCTTTCCATTCTGCTCTTTAGGTGTAACGAATGCTGAAGGTTTAATCTTATTGCAATTAGTACGTGTTGGAACAGTAGATTCAGGAGTATGTTTAGCAAGAGGGGTATGCGGCATAAGCTGAATAATTCGTGATTCTTTCAATCCTTCAGGAGCTGTAAGGTTGGAACACATATCGGACTTTTGTGGACTGATAATCTTTTCATTATTTTCCTTATTCAGATCAATATCACTCATTCTCACATTTGTATTAATTATATCAAAATCATCAGCGTTATCAGAGATACTTTCTAGAATCTTTAATTCATGTATTTTTAATTCAGCCGATAATCTCTGGATTTCTAGACTCGTTACATTATCATCTGAATTCGAAAGGTCATTTCCTCTATAATCTTCTTGGACGTCAAAACTTATACCATTCTCATTATGTTCATTAAATGAATCAATTAATCTTTTGACTGGTAGGTCCGTCAGTTTGCTCTCACGGATAGATTTTTCTTCGCATTCCAATGAATTTCTTTTAATCAGATTTTCGTTCTGTAATATATCTAAACTTTCTTCCTGAAATAAATAAATAAATTAGAATTAATGGACAAAATAAATAATAATAAATAGATATATATATATAAACGTCTTGAATACCTTTTCTTCCTCTATTATATTAGCATTATCTAATCGTTCGCCATTTTCTTTCTCATTTGTTCTAATGTCATTAACTTGTTCAACTTCCTTAATCTGATCCGTTAGTTCATCCAATTCCTCTCCTTTATTTAATTCAGCTGATAATCTCTGGATTTCCAGACTTGTTACATTATCATTTGAATTTGAAAGGTCATTTTGTCTATCTTCTTGAACATCAGAACTTGTATCATTCTCGTTAAGTTCATAAAATGAACCAATTAATCTTTTGACTGGTAGGTCCGTCAGTTTGCTCTCACGGATAGATTTTTCTTTACCTCCAATATTCATTGAACCTTTGATCAAGCATTCCAATGATTTTATTTTATTAAGATTGACTGACTTTTCAACTTCAATACTAACCAAATCTTCAATTATTATCCCATTGGATGTGTCATGTTCTTCATTTATATTATAATCTTCTATGCTAAGAATCTCGTTATTATATATTTCAGTAACTGTTATATTTTCTTCTTTATTTTTTCGAACAAATATTGAATCTTCCAAGTTTATAACTTCGCATTCGATTGGTAATATTTCTTCATTTTGATCAAATTCTGATTCTTCCAGGTTTATAACTTCGCATTCTGTTGGTAATATCTCTTCACTCTTTCGATCAAATTCTGATTCATCCAGGTTTATAACTTCGCATTCAATTGGTAAAATTGTTCTCAACTCTTCATCATTGACAGAATCACTAGTCAAATCAATAATTTCTGCAACATAGGATGGTTCTTTGCTGTTATCTTTGACGACTTCCTCTTCAGGTTTGAGATCATTCTGTAATATATCTAACTTTTCTAACTGAAATATATAAATAAAAATCAGAAAAAACAATAATAATAAATAATAAATAAATATATATATATATATATGTTTGAATACCTTGTCTTCCTCTATTATTTTAGCATTATCTAATAATTCGACATTTTCTTTCTCATTTGTTCTAATGCCATCAACTTGTTTAACTTCCTTAATCTGATCTGTTAGTTCATCCAATTCATCTTCGTTAACTATTTTAATAGCATTTTCTGTATTTCTTCGAGAACTATTATTGTTACAAGGAAGTGCCGCCACCTTTACTTTTTTTAATTTTGAAACTGGCGTAGCAAAAATTGGGCAGGAAGGGAGTCTTTTACGATGTTCTTCTCTTTTGATTTATTAAGTAAATATTTGAATTAATGATTAATAATAATATTTTTTTTTTAAACGCGCAAATAAAAATAAAAATGAAAATAAATATTCTTACGAAATCTTACATAGGATCGTCCTTAGATAACCACCCTTCTAGCCCAACTTCGCAATACATACAAGCTACGTGATCTATCGATTCATAAGTTGGAGCATGATAAAATCCCGCCTTGGCCATCTGAGTATCCGAGATATAAAAAACGCGTTAGGTATAGAAAATCAAAAATTATTTTGTTAGAATTTCTTTTTAATAAAGCAATACCTTTTTACTAGTTCCAATCCAACCTTTTTTTCCATCATGAGGCCACCAATTGCCAAAGGTTTTTAATCTAACTTCTTCCATTTTCTTTGATGTGGGCAACTGTTCCTTATTATCCCAACTAAAAGGCAATTCATCATCCGTAAATTTTCTTTTAATACATCGACAAATAGCCCAAGCACAATTTGGAGAATGATTAACATGTTCTTCCAATGGATCATCAGTTGGATCCCATCTTTCCATCGACTTATGACATAAGAAACAAATTACATTATCTGGAGAAGTTTGTGACGGTTTAAAGTAAAAACCTGCCTTTGCTAGCTATTGATTGAAAAAAACGATATTTAGTGAATAAAAAAAAAAAGCTTTCATAAAAACTTTGAACTATTAGTCCTTCATATTTACGATCTCTGGAGTTGCTTTATATCCATCAGAAGCTTTATATGGCCATTTTCTTTTTTTAGAGGTATAAGATTTCAAACGGTTATCGTACAAATACATACTCATGCTGATAGGTTTTGAGGAATAAAAAGCGTGTAATAATTATTTAACTTTGGGTTCTTCGAAATATTTATTTTTAATATTATTGTCAAAAAAAAAAATGTATATATATTGATTTATCATCTGTTAGAGACGCGAAGCGGTTTATGTAGATCTTTAATCGCGTTCGCATATTCACGTGATTTTATTTTATTTTATAGTAATTACTTTATTTTTACTTTACTTAAGGAGATATTTACATAATTTGTACTGTATAATTACAAGTGTTTTTGTGCTTAATTTACAATAATCCTAACTTTAATACTACCAAAAAAACCGATTTAACGGCATCAACAAATACTTTTGAATTTGTATTAATTTTCGACTCTTGCTGATCAATGTTTTTTTGTTGATCTGTCAATATCTCCGTATCATTTGTAAAGTCACCATCCAATTCATTCTCATTTACGTTTTTGACATAAACATTCATCGTAAATTCAACGTTAACCTTGAAATTGTTTGGATTAGCTATAGCCAAACATTGAATCTCATCTTTAACAAGTTTATGTCGTTTATTAGTCATTGAGCAAGACATTACAGGTTCAAGACAATGCATTAAAGGTTCAACATAAATCTGCTCAATCTGAGGATTCCTGGCAAGAATTTCCATTTGTGATTTTGACAGAACAAAGGAAAGAATTCCTCCTGAAGGTAATTTATTTATAGTTGGAATTGGCATCTTTGAAGTATTTCCAAAAATTGTACGTGTCCTTACTTTTGAACTTTCAATTACTGAAACATTATATGCTACAAAAAAAAAAAAAGGATAATTCATATAAGGTAAAAAAAAATTAACAAAAAAATGTAATTTCAAGGATTTGCTTGCTTACACATATGATTCGTTCTTTCTTCACTACACATGTATGTAGTCCACCCAGCAGGAATAGAAGAGGAACCAACATACAAATACGACTAATTTTTTTAAAGAATCAAAATTTATTTATATAATTTTACATAAATAAATGTTTATAAATGATAAGTAAAATTAATTCATTAATTAATTACCTTTGACATTTCTTCCAAATCCTCAGAAAATGAAACGTGTGGAGTACCGTACCAAAACTATTTAGAAAAAATAAACGAAATGAAGTTCATTCGTTTTATCCTTTTTACAAAATGATGAATAAAACATTTACCTGGAATGATATCAATAATATCACACATAAAGCGAAAATAAAATCACACGCTCTATCGGAAATAACCATATTATTTTTTAACAAAACAAAAAAAAAGAAACTCGTCGTATATTACCTTTAGAAAAAGTAAAAGAAAAAAAGAGAGAAATAACCTGAATTAATTTTTTAAATACTGTGAATTTTTTTTTTTTTTTATTGAACATTACTTTTAAAGAATTAATTCTCGAAAAAGGAAAACCCATGTGGTGGATTTGAAAAGTTTTGAAATTCATGCAGTGAAATACATACACATATATGTAACTAAAAATATCTATTATTACTGTCAAATGGAACATAAATTATACTGATACTTTAATTGATACATGTATCATCAATATAAATAAAAATAAAATTTTGTTATTTATAACTCCATTGTTATGTCCTTTTCGATTTTTAGAATTGCATAGATGTCATAGAAGGAATTATTAATAAGGATGAAAAAATTCATTTCTGCGGAATGAACAATGCCATCGAAATCCATATAAAATTAAGAAAATGAAAAAGATTTCAAAGGGAGTTGAACCTTCTAAAACCTGTACTCGAAAACGATTGATTTTTCAAGTGAAGAATTAATGATGAACGAATGAATAGATTAGATGTATCTAGGGAAATTTCATAAAGTTTCAGTGTACATTAATTACAATATTCAATGACTGTTGTGAAGTTGAGGTTTTGAGAAATTTTCCCGAGAAGTTTCAACTATCGGTTAATTTTGTTGAAAAATTAACGTACTGCTATAATCATTAAGGAAACTTCTAAATATACAAATAAAAAATTTGTTTCAAAATAATATGTATAATTTTTTGAAGTACATTTTTACTTCGTTGGTAAGCAAAGCTGTGTAGCTTCATTATAGATTTTTTTTTATTCCTTGTTCGTTGAGTTCGCGACTATTAATTTATCAACTTAAAAACTCGAACACTCCCATAAGTTTAGTGGATCTTACTTGAAAACCAGGCAATTTTCTTTTAAACTTATAAAATCTTTCGCAATATTTTTTTTTGTATTACAGTATAAACCGTCTTTTTTTTTAAAAAAAAATAAAGTATTATTGAACAAATAATGTTCTTGAATTGTATTAACAAGTTTGTCATTTGTTAAAGATAAAGCTTACCATTTAAATTAAAAGTTTGGAAGGTTTTAACAAAAACTCTTGAAAGAAAATAATTTTTGCTTAATATATGTTTTTTATGTTTTTTATAATTTTTTTATTATTCTGAATATATTATATATAATTCATTGTATTGATATACAGGTTTAACTTTTTTTTTATTTTTTTTTTGTAAAAAATATCTCAATTAGAATTTCTTTTTATATTTTTTAAATGTAAGAAATAATAAACTCTAATAATATTGAACAAACTTCTTAACTTAGAAGGTATTCCACTAATCATAAAAGTATGCTATCAACAAAAAAAAGTAAAAACCGTGCGTCATATAGAATCACCAATATGAAAAAAAAATACTTTAAAGTTGGAATGAAAAAAATTGAATAAATTTTTTATAGTAACATTAGGATGGATGAGATAGAAAGAAAATTAAAGATCCATTACAAACAAAATGTAAAGAATCAAAATGTCTTGATTTTTGTAGATATTTATACTAAAAAAACTATAAATTACATTATTTTAGCATAAATAAAGAAGAAATTCAATACAAAAACCTTTTATTAAAATAAAAATAAAAATTTTGGTTTAATATAAAAAATGATTTTGAATTTTAGCGATTGACAAGCCTTGAAATGTTTATTTTGAAAATCGATTAATCGAAAATCGAAAATCATTTGAAATTCAATTTAAATCGAACAGATATTATGATCATAGCTAATATAAACTTGTATTAAATTCATAGGTTATAATAATATCATTATAAAAAAAATTAAAAATTTTACCCAAGAATCATAAATTTTAAATAAGTAATTTTTCTTTAAATTTTATCAATGTAATATTTATATTAAATTAAACTGATTAAATTTATTTTAAAATTTATACAGTAGATTAAATTAATTTTAATGAATTCTAAAAAAATTTATATTTTAATTTACAAAGGTTAGATTACCACTAAAAGTGATATTAAAAAAAAAAATACAAACACATATATAACAATATAAATTATATTTAAGGTATTATTTAAAATTAATAAAATTATTTTTTTTTATCTCTTCCTAAAGAACCCTTCGCAAAATCAAAAACTTTTTTTAAAAAAGGGTAAAAAGGGATATTTATCTGCTGACAATCCGACATTAAGTTAAATATAGATGTGTGTCTTCGATTGTTTCCATTTGTGTAAGTATAATAAATATTTTAATTGAACCAATCATATAATGTTACTCCCCAATGCAGACTTGTTCCGAATTATACCGGTGTACTATATTAAGATTTGAAATGAAACTTGTAAAACAAAAAAACTTCCTAAAATGATATTTCGCCACCCCCCATAATGTTTAGATTTCTATTGTTCCAATATTAATAATAATTTTAGGAGATATATAAATACGTTGCTCACTATGCTTTTAAAAACATTAGAGCTGCGCTCCTCGTTAAAAATCAAAAAGAATAATCAAGATGAAGAATTTTTCAGGAATTAATTCTTTATATTTCATAACAATCTTTATTTTATTCATAGATCCATTAAGCATAAGTTCATATAAAGTATTGTCATATAATGAAACCGAGCCCGATTACAAAATTAACCAAATCTTAACTTATCCGGATGGAATTTCGGTTGTTTTCTTGACCAAACCAATAAATGATACATGTAACGAACCAAGGATTGATTTGCGAGTTATACATCCAAATGGCACAGTTGATAAAGTAAAGGTGGAGCATTCGATACCGGATTTTAATTTTTGTCTTGTATCAAACGATAAATCTTTACGTATTACGCTTATTCGCAATATACCGGATTCTATCTACGCGTTATATGTAAACTCCTCCGATATAAATTCGGCAAGTTATTATGTGTCACTTCTCACGCACACTGGAAAAATCATAAGGTTTGAATCACTTAATAATAGTGTATCGCAATCATTGTTAATTGATACTTATACAAGTTTGTTTACATTATAAAGCAATACATTTCTTTCACGGGTTCCCGTCATGGATGGAATATTATCTTCCTCCGGGTTTATGTATTCTCACGATAACGAAGCAGGTGGCTTTATTTTCTGGAATTATTTAACTGAAGCTTTTGTTAAATGGATTTACTTTAGTAAACCGTAAGTTCGTAACATTGAAACTCTCACTTGTTAATTTAAACATTAATGATATTTATTTTGTTCTTAGTGATTCCGATGGAAATTTTCATCCAATAAATAATGGTCACCTTGAAATTAAAAATCCTTCATTAGATACCTTTAATATATTTGCCACAATTGATGAAACCTTTGCTATAGTATCTAGTCGTACAAATATTTCAAATCAACCTTTTGATGTTTCAATGGATCCAGTCAGACCAACATTTGGTCTTTATGTAACTTTCATTAATCCCGATAAAACTGTTGATGGACCATTCTTGCTGTATCAATCCGTAATACCGAATTTACAAATTATGTTTCGATGTAGTAAAACATATACGACTTTGGGAAATTCTTGCATTTTGAATATGAAGAGGGATGAAGATTATAAATTGATTCAAATAAAATTTCAGAATACAGGGTCGGTAATACTACATAAACTAATGACTTTGTTTTTTCTTCTTTAATAACGTATGTCTCATTCTCATATTTATTTATAAATACAGTTCTGTTGTCGGTATCAATAAATTTTCTAGTCTTGAATTGTATAAAGATTTAAGAGAAACTACGGAAATTAGAAATTTGTTTTATGGAGGGTTCTTGGTACAATTTTTCGATGATTCTGATGATACCCTTCATAAACCATTTCAATCTATCATTCTTGATGACGAAAGGAATTATTATAGCACTTTGGAGTTTCCAAAAGATTTAAAATTTTCTAATAATTGTGCGATGGGAGAATTTCGATACAACACTTTTGTTGTTGCTTACCAGGATGATGAATATACCTGGAAAGTCTATTCAGAAGATTTACCAAGGTTCTTTGATGGTAAGATATCATAACTACAGTCATGGATAATTTATTGTTTATTTAACTTTTTTAAATATATATATTATTAGATAATGGATATAATAACATAAACGTTAATACCACACATCCATTAATTAATTCGAAGATACCACTATCAACGACTAGTATTAACATTACATATAACTTTCCGATAATAATGTCAACGAATAATATCTCTATTTATCAAGATGGTAATGGCAAAAACGCTATATTGCGACAATCGATTCCAGGAAACTCTCCATCATCATTTGTTTATAGTGCGGATAATCAGTCATTAATTTTAAATGTTTTAGAGAGCACATTCAATCAACCAAATGCGAATTATTACATTGTAATTGATGATAATGCTGTTAAAGATTTGAAAACGGACCAACCGTTAATGGGTATTCAAACTCATACTTGGATGTTTAATACCAGTAAGTAAATAAAGTTAAAAAAAAAAAAAAATTCGAGATTTGTTTAATTAATTACATTACATTATTTTCATTAGGCGATTATCAAGATGTTTTTGCGGGTAAATTAATTTACAAGGTGTAATAATTTTTAAAAATCATGCGTTAATAATTCGTTCTACTTTTACCCTTTCAGAGGATGCAATCGGTCGATTTGCCTTAACGACTGAAGGAACTAATTATTTCGAAAATCTCCCACCATATAATAAAACAACTTATTTATTACAATTAAGAATTGATTTATCGAATTTGATACCAGTTGATATTAATAGATTGGATGCAATAATATGTTGTGAATACGACAGAAGTCAACAACTTCCAAAAATTTTATTATCATTACCTATTAAATCCACAACAAAATCAAATGATAGAAATGTCGACCGTGTAATAAAAGACTTGGATCTTTTGATTAAGAATAAAAAAGTTACACCAATTTCTTGGTTTTTTACGACAAATTATATAGATGCAAGTTTTGGATTTCAACTTACTGGTAACTTAATTGATTTATTTATAAATAATAGCCAGTATAATTTTCCCGTAATTAAAATTTAAAAATATTTTATTATTTAGTAAACTTATTTCAGGATTTTAAATTTCATTTAATCGGCATCGCTATTGGAATAATAATTTTAGGATTGCTTTATTTTTATGCCAGAAAAAGGAGTCCTACGGTAAAATATTTACAACACCAAATCAACGTCAATCTTTTTACTGAATTTATATTTAAATCATTGAATTTATTATGATATTTTAGGGGAAAAATATCGCCATATTTAAATTTTCCTTGATTATTTTGGACTTTATTCTTGATTTTCTGTTCGTTCTGAATAATGGAGCAAAGGTTCCGCAATTGTTTATTCCAAGGTTCGTCGTTAAATCACAAATTATTTTTTTTAAAAAAAAAAAAAAATGCTTGTCCGTAATTTATTAACCTCACCCTTTATTATACACCCGTTGAATAGTATAACATTTTGTGCAATGCCGTTAGCAATTAATTTCATCATGAGCATAGTCATGATCCTTCGAGAAATTAAACACAACAAGGGTTTTTACGAATGGTTTAAAGAAAACACCAATATGGCATCTTTATTTACTATATTAGCAAGTACCGATATTGGAGTATTAAATATACTTTCTTCTAACGTTGCTGGAATGGCGTTATTTAATGCACCTATATCCAATGGAACTCAATCTTTAATATTTCTTGGAGGTCATATTGGATTTGTTATTGAAGATATTCCACAATTTATAATACAGGTTGGTAAAATAATAAATATATATATATATATTTCTAATAAAAAAAAACTAATGTTAAAAAAAAACCATTTCTTTAATTTCTTTAGGTTCTTTATAAAAATTCGACCATCACTTATGACATAATTCCTTTTCTCACGTTATTAACAAGTTCGATAGTATTGGTAACTAGTATAGTTTCTAGAGTATATCATTTAATTGTATATTCATGTAAAAAACCAATATCTGACGAAAGATTATTTCCGATTAATCAAAATATGTCTAGCGCAAAAGTAGATGTAGTTGAAATTGAAGTTAAAGATCATTTGACCGTTCCGCAAGTAGCCAAAAAGAAATTTAGGAAATCAGTGTAAATAATGTAATTTTAAATCTTTTTTCATAAAAAAATTTTTTAAATTAAAAAAATTTTTTATAATGACATACATACATACAGTACATATAAATAAAAAATAAAAAATAAAAAGATAAGATACCATGTGATAATTGGTGGACAATAGGGTGTCCACAAAATTCGCGTAAAAAAATCGCGTAAATCGTGATCAACACAACCTGGACACCCTAGTGGACAAAAAGCGATGGTCAGCTGACTTTCTAATTCGGCTATATTAGCAAAGCCACATCAAAAAAAAATAATTTTAATTGCAACTCTCAGCTAATTAAAATTTTGATGTTGCAATTTACTCCACGGCCAAAAGATGTAGTGATGAGGAATTACAAAGACCCTCAACGTTAGCAATTGAAGTAATTTTATGCATTGGTAAGCTTAAATATCACAAATCTGGGTATTACTCTTACAGCGTTGATAAGAGCGATTCTTATTTTTTTTTATGCATGTTTTTAAATAGGGTGAATGGCTGTGGCTAAAAATGAGGTGTTGGTGAAAGTCTGGAAAAGTTTAATAACTCATAAAGATGAGAATACGAAAATTAAGAAATTCATGGCTATTAGGATTAGGGAAAGGAAATTAGGATTAGGTCTGGATTATAATTATTTTGGAGGCTTGGGAATATTTTATGAGGAATGTCACCTTCTGACATTCCAAACATTCCGTTTTCAGCATTTCCTGGAGGAAAAGAATGTTTAAAAAGTCTATCTGAATTTTGGTGTAGTTCAAATATACAGTATCT